TTATGTTTATCTCAAAAATCTCCAATTTTTATGCCACCCTGAACAAGCTGGATCTCGTCTGATCTCAGAAGCTAAGCAGGGTCGGGCCTGGTTAGTACTTGAATGGGAGACCGCCTAGGAAGACCAGGTGCTGTAGGTGTAAAGAATAAAAAATAAGGGATTGTAAGCTGACAAGGTCCTTGCAATTTGTGAGGTCAACCAAGGGTTGCCTCTCCTAAAAAAAAAAAAAAAAAAAAAATTCCAATTTTTTCCTTATCACTGTTCCTTATATATTTCTCCATCTTTTGGGGTTCATCTCTCTTTGCTGAAGTATATCATTTTATAATTCTTTCAGTAAAGCTCTCGAAGTGTTTTCAGTCTTTGTTCACCTAAAACTGTTTTGAACAGTAATTTAGATGATATAGTCTGTATATGTTTACATCCTCTGTTATTTTTCCCTCATCATTTTGATATTGGTCTATTTTTTTCGTAATTTCTTAATGGTAATCCATTTCTAGTTAATCTGTTTTTCTAAGTGTGGAGATGTCTGCATACAGATTTATTTTAATTTTCCTCCTCATGACTCACTGGACTTCTTATAGCTCAGAATCCTTGTATTTTATCAATTCTAAAAAATTTAAGACTTTTTTTTCCTCTTCTCTATTGTCTCCCCATCTGAAAATTCAGTTTTTTGTATATTGAACTTTTTATTTTCCTTCATGTCTCTTAACATGTCTTTCATATTTTCTATGTATTTATCTCTCCATTTTATATTTTAAGTAAATTCTTCAGATTTATCTGTATCTAATTTATTGCTCAAGTTCTACACTGAATTTTTAATTTAATCAACTATTTCACAAGTTTTGATTCTTTTCAACTCTGCCTGCTTATATTTTCACAGTATGCTTTTCTTCCATTATGACTTCTAATCATATTTTTAAGCTGTTTTCATTATTTTAAATATATCAATTTTATGGTCTTTTTCAGATTGTTCTAATACCCAGAATCTGGGGTCATGCTAACCTTCTTGTCTGATTTGTCTGCTCTTACTTAAAAGAGATAATTTCCTCATTTCATTTCTCAGTTTTTTTGGGGCTTATTGTCAGTTTTTAAAAAGTTTGAAATTCACACCTCCCTTCCCAATGGAGTCCTGTTTGCCCTGAGTTGAAGTATTCTTTCCTGCCAAGCATTATTAACTTCTTTCTACCAGTTATCTCACGGGTGTTATTGGTCTGGAATCAAATTTTCCCCCGATTATTTTCTCAGTTTTAAATTCCTGCCAAGCAGGATATAAATTTGGATACTACATCTGCATGTGATATGAGCCTGGGGCTTTAATATCTTATGATAGGTGTTTTGACACTCACATCCCTAAGCAAAGATAAATTTTCTTATTCCTATCTTGGACCAAGATTAGGAGTCTATTTATTTCCTCTTACACAGATGGGCAGATCATTCCCAGGTGATGGTTGAATTGGGTCTCAGTTCTCATCTACATCTCCTGGCTCCACATGGCATTATAATCTCAGTCAATGACTAAACAGTCCTATATACAAATCCAATATCTTTCACAAATACCTTTTTTTGAATATGACCTCCTTGTTGCTTCTGGCTGGCAGTTTCCATTTAAGAACTGCTATATATTAAAAAATTATTTTATTACAACTTACCTAGCATTTCTGAATGTTTATAGTAGGAAGAAAATCCATTTGATTTCAGTTCATCATACTACTGAAACCATAAGTGCCACAGTGATCTTTGAAAATATAAATAACACATCGTTCTATTTTAAAGTTATTAAAGAGCTTCTCTTTGAGAGAATACTTCTAAGTATTTTCATTTAGCTAAAATATGTGTAATCTGTTTCTCTTGGTCTGTAGAATGTTTCTTAATCTTGTCCTGCCTATTTCTTCAATATCATATCATGTGACTCTTCCTCTGGCTTATTCACTATGCTCTAACCACATTGACTTGGCTTGCTTTCTTTTCTTGAACATTTCAAGTTTCCTTTCCTAAAATAGTTTTTTTTTTTTTCCCCACAGAATCCCACCCTTCCATGGTCCCTGACCACCGCATTCTCTATCACATCAACATGTTTATTTCCTTCACCATATTTATTATCTTATTCATTTACATATTCTTTTATTCATTTTAATTTTATTCATTTATTATCTTATTCATTTACATATTCTTTTATTCATAAGAATAATTATCTTATTCATTTACGTATTCTTTTATTTTCTGCCACCTCCAAGTAGAGTGTATGCTCTGTGAGGGAAGCAATTTTGTCTTGATAATTACTCTAGCCTCAGGATCTAATGAAGTGTCTGATATGTAGTATGTAGTGAATAAATATGTGTTCAATGAATGAAGACGGAAGTAGTGTTCAAAATCTTTTAGTTCAAATTTTTGCATTTACAAAAAGTAAAATGAGCCGGGAAAGTAGCTGAGAAAGGTTTAAGAACTTGCCCAAGATCATAAATGTTTTGTGAGATATACAGAATACGTCCTCAGGTTTCTTGACTCTCCTGCCCTAGGTTCTTTCTAGTGACTACTCCACTGGTTATAGGAGACCTGTATTAGAAATTTGGAAAGATGATAGCTAGACGATCATCCCTCCCACTTAAATGATGAAATTTGTGGAATATATGCATATATTAATTTTTCCAGGGGAGGAAGGCTATAGCTTTTATCCAATTTTCCAAAAGGGTCAAAGCCACAAAAAGTCTTAAAAACTACTGGCCCACATATTGTTTATGAAATGTAAGTTGCTTGCATGTTTTATCTCCTTATCAGTTTTTCATAAGAATTAAACAATCATTCTGAACAGAACACTATATTGCCAAAGAATCTAGTGTTATGACTTGTATTAAAATGTTGCCATCTATAGATAAAGGGTTTGGTTCTGAAGTTATAGAATCACTTGGCACATGAGTCTAGGAGTACTCTGCCAACTACATTTATCCATACTGGAAGTATGAGTGCTCACACATTGTCTGTAGTTACATATACCTCAATATTTCTTTAGCTGTATTTCTGGTACCCAGTCCCCTAAAATATTGAAGGATAAAGAATTTTTCATTCTGATTTCTCTATCATCTTGAAAATGAGATCTTTTGTGGGATAAGCTTTTACTCTGGAGAACTGAGATTGAGATGGTAAACAGATTGGTCAATATGTGGATATAGCAGTGGATTTTGGATTTTGAATACATATAGGGCTACTCCATACTTTATTTCTCAGAAATATTTTGTGTCTGCTAAACCTGTTATGTGTGTAAAATGGTCCAGGGAACGGGGAGAGGGAATGATACTATCTTTGCAGTAGATGTTGGTAGCATATCTTCCCAGGCCATGAATCATCCTCTCCTCCTTTTGTAAAGACGAGTCCTCCACCTGGAGGCACCCTGCTCCTCTGCCATTGATAGTGGGATGTAGTGGCCAAAGCTGAGCACGCTACATACTTTTTTTTTAGAAATTAAAATTTGAGATTCAGAGATAGCCCAGTGAAATCTTTCATGCACCTATAACTCTACCTATGAATCTGGAATTGCAGGAAAATATATTTTCCACATATGTGGAAGAGAGAGTCAGTCCGTAAAAAGAGAAAGATGGAGACAGGTAAGCTTTAAAAAGAAATAAAAAAAAAGGATTTCCTTGTTCTCTGACAACCTTCCTTACGGTAACTCTTTTTTTTCACATTAGATTAAGTTGATTTCATTACAACCAAAGTTTAATTGATACAAAATTTTATTTCCTGTGGATGATTTTTTTTTTTTTTAAGTTTTGTTCTTTTCTTTTATTTGTGTGCTCGGAGGCATAACATGTATAAGTGCTGGAGTCAAATAAACCAGGTTTAAATATTGATTTGATTACTAACTACCTAAGTGCAATAAATTAGATACACTCATACTAAAAAGTTATCGTTTATCTGAAATTCAAATTTAATTGGGTATACTTTACCTGGGAACCCTATTTGTGACATAATTTCTTTGTAAAATGGAGATAATAATACCAAATCAGCAAAAATGTTATTAAAAATGTCAAGGGTATCATAAACATTATGTAAAACAATTTATGAGAAATATAGTTTATTTTTTCTTTCCTCTTTCCTTCTACCTGTGGTGTATCTAGAACACAAGATGACATAGCTTACAAAGCTCAGCACTATAAGACCAGTGATTGAGAGTAAATACCTCCTGGATGGGCTGAACTTTTTTTTTTTTTACTGTTAACAGAATAATACCTACATGAAATGACTTAATTAAAGGTGTAGTTTATAGTGCAGTGATTGGTTCCTTTTGGTATGTGGGGAAATGTGTTATATCTTTTATTCCATGATGCCTTTATTCTTGAATTAGAGAATTCGGAAGGTTTCTTGTGTCAGTCTACCTGACCTCACCCAGGCACCCTATCCCAGGATGCTCTAATAGACATTCTTGTGCCAGACATGTGCCTAGGTCTCAGTTTTACACACATTGGTTGCCAGTTCAAAGCGGCATCTTCCCATCTGGTCTTTGTCACTCTCTGTAGGGAGAGATGAAGAAAAAGCATGAGGAAAAAAGAGAAGGAGATAATATACTAGTTTGCTATTTGCCTGTTTGAGGATAAAGAATGTAAGATTCTTGATTTGGGAGTTTCTTATTTCTTGTCTCCAGTGTCATTTTTATCTTGATTTCTTATACTCCCTGACTGACCGGAAGAACCCAGCAAGTGCCGAAGAATTTCTTTAACACAGCTCGAATTCACATGTCGCTGAAGGGACACAGAACAATGAACTTTCTTTACAGGGGCATTTATTATATATTTCTTTATCAATCATGCCAGATCCAGTGGGTTTGGATCAGCCTTTTGCTTCTTCCCAAATAGTGTGGGCTAGCTGATCAACCACAAAGCCATGGGCATGAAAAGACATGCTTCCATTTTTATTTTCCTTGTTCAACGTCACCACCTCTGGAGATGCCTTATAAATTGTGAGCTAAGAGTTTGTGGAGAATATCAGCAGGTCTCATTTGACACAGACTATTCAGTGATCTCCTCTATGGTCTCCATCATGTTTTCTTTTCCATTTTTTTCCACGGTTTCATCTGGATGTGTCTGGGGTGATGGTTTACCATTCTGAGTCAAAACAGTTCTCTTAGAATCACTAACAGACAAACGTTTTGACTCCAAAGTATGTACTGATATATTTGATAGTTGTGGTGTCTTCAGGTCAAATGGGCCAACTGTGGAAGAGTAATTTATGTCTGGAGGTACCTCTGATATTGGTGACGTTATATTTACAGTTTCATATGGACCTTGACATGAAGTGTCTTTTTTGTAGCAAGAAATGTCGAAAGGGATGGCACAAAACACAAGATCTGAGGGCAGCAGCTTAAAATCATTGACTGGCCGGGTAATCACAAATCTGTAAGAAAAGGGAAAAGTGAGTCTGACCTTCTGCAGCTGGGATAGTAAGGCTATGGGCAATGGCCAAAATATGGCGGTCATTCTGCTGCTCCAGAAGAGGAAATGTTTTTGTTTTACCTTGCTTCATTGGTTTCTCGTGAATAGTCAATATCCCTGGCGCAGCACAGTAGGACAGGCCTAGACTAGGAACTGGGAGACGGCTTTCACCCTTGCCCCTGACACTGTCTCTGACCTTAAGCGTGGCGTCTCACTTCTCTCATTTTCATGGCAGAGGGGTAGCGCTGCGGTTTGGTTTGACAGATCCCTAATTGGCCTTTCTGACTCCAGGTTTCTCTGCTTTTAATATCCACTACACTAATGAGTTCAATTGGCTCAATACTGAGCACTTAGCTAAGTGTTTTCAAAACTGGAAGATTACACACACTCCAGATATTTCCATCCTGGCTTAGGCCTACCCTAATGCTTATGCCACCAACTTTCACACAGAATATAGTGTGGTCAATGCAGAAAAGGAAGAAACATTAAAGTTATATTTGAAACTTTGATTGGTAAATAAATAGCAAATGTCAATGAGTCTTAACACCCAGAACCCGGACCTGCATGGAAGAAAGTGGGGAGGTAGGGTACCTTAGCACAGTATCAGGCACAGAACAAATCCTCAATAAATGTGAGTTACGTTAATTAACATGCCAGTGTTCATGTCAGGATGCTGAAGCAGAATAACCCTTCAAGCCTTTCATCCTGCATTTCTTCCTTGGTTCCCCAAATTGACTACCACCTCTTTCCTAAACACCAATCTCAGTGCAACATTGACCTTTCACTAAATAATCTTCCCACTTTTATCTTTCCCACTGAGTCCCCTTTAACCTCTAGAAGATTCTAAACAAGATCTACTATAATTACATACTCCCTTTAAAACAGAAATATCATTTCTTTCCTTGAGGTCCTCTCAAGTATGGGCTCCACATTCTCCCAATTACTACGTTCCACAGGTTTTCCGGAGGCGTCAGGGGAAGTGGATGGAGTTCAGACTTCCCAGTGCTGCTTCCAGAACCTCACTCCTCCCCATCATCTTTGTGGTTAATGCTCTAGAGTCCTATCACCTTCCCTCTTGATTCATCAGTGTCCTCTATAGACCTCCACATTTATTTAGGCCTTTGGCACTTGGGACACTTTTTCTTTCAAACTCTAGTGGCCCCGTCATCTTACACACCTGCAGTGTCTATGTGGTTTACAACTCCAACATCTAGACATGTTTCTTCGATTTCCAATACCCAGTGGTGATCTTTATCTCTAAAGCATACTCTCTAGGCCACACAGTGGATGTTATAATTTCCCGACATGTTTCACCTCTAAAATCTCATGCTTCAATATATCACTCTCTGACCACGACTTTCTGTCATTCTTTCTCTGTCATCTGAGTACATCTACTCTTGCAGTCTAGTAGAGCTCCTGCAAATCCACAGTTAACCTCTTCTTCCATTCCTCTCAGTAGTTAATCTGAACTTTTACCTCTTTCTCAACTCCCTGTAATACTTCCTGTCTTTTCTCTCAGCAATGGATATGCCTGTACTTCACTGAGAAATACCAGCGTTACATAAAAATTCCCTTAAGCGCACCCCTCATCTCTAGCCATATTGGCTTTGGCATCCACTCTTTTCCTTCTTTTCTCCTATGAACAGATAAATTGTCTTTCTTTCTATTCCACACTAATTTACTTTGAGTAATTTGGCATCTTTCCCCTTTCCCCTGAAACAGGTTCCATCCATTTATTTCTGCTCTATCATTTTTAGTTTCTCCTCCTTTACTGAATCTGGTCCATTCCCACTGTGAGAATCTTAGTGTGGACCTACATCACTGTGTTGTCCATAGACAGCACCCTCTCTTTTCTCCTCCTGCCCTCCACACGTATTTCCTCTATCTTCCCCACTGCTGTCAGATTGCTCTTCCTTCAAGCTTAAATGTGAACATATCACTCCCATAATTTATATGTACAAAGCACAATGGCTAGAAAAGAGACACTTAATAAGTATTTACCCAATAAATCAGCATAAAACAAGTAAACATTTCCAATGTGGACAGTGGCATTCAGCTTTAAAAAGTTACATAGACATAGATAAGAGGTAAGTTACAAACACAAAACCGAACCGAACCAAAACCTGATTTAAAATCTGGATCTACATTTCAGTTTTCACTGGAAACAGAGATACCATTCTTACATGGCTTACACGGGATCCCAATTACCAGAGTTTATTCATGTCATTTATGTGCATTCTTCCTTTGCCCTACATCGTAATCTACTTCCCCTGTACCCTTCTTTGCAGCTGTGGACCCTGAGTTCTGGACTTCTCTTTCACAGAGAATAAAGCGGCTTTGGCTTTTATGTTTGGATGGTCAGCTAGCACTTTCTAAACCCGCATACTCCCCTTTTATGCTCCGGGTTGTGCTCCTCTTCATCTATCATGCGATATAAGCCAAGGCACAGGATCCCAAAATTATCTAATGAGCCACAGAAAACTTGCCCAAAGGTCTTCTTTGGCTGAGGAGAGAAGAGGAAAAAAATATATATCTGCTGGCACTTTAATCAAGTAATGACAAGCACTTACTGGAGGGTCATTGGTTTTCTTTATCGTAGAAATTTGGAAAACCTGAAAATCATTTCCTAATATCTTTACGGTGGCAGTGTCAAGTGGCTTGGGAGTGAGGCTTATGATTAGTTTTGAGCATCTAATTCCAATAATTGTTTTTTATCACTCTGATCTTTCAAGACACTCTGGTGGGTATGGTGTGGCATGTTGTTATGGTCATTTTTTATTTCCACTGCTGTTTTGGTAACTATTAAGAAGCAACAATGAGGAACAGGTTGGAAGACCCCATTTTCAGGGTATATAAGTAGTTGGAAGGTTCAGTGACCCCCAGAGAGTAATCTTATTCTATTCGACAATAGATTATAGTCCCAGCTATTCCTCTTGACCTTGCTCTCAGGTTGTAGGCCAGACAGGGCACTGCAGGTGAGCTCAAAAGCAGCAGCTAAAGGGTTCAGTGAAGTCAAAAGAAAATAGCCTGTTTAGTTCTGTGTGCCACTCCTTAAGGTAAAGAACAAAGTGAGGACAAGACAAAGTGGAGAAAGGAAGGAGAGGTATGTTGACCAGTCCACTGTCACCTTTCATACCAATAGGAAGTTGTTGGCGGCAGTTGTCCTAGGCATATAATCACTGACAAGCCAATCTTAGGTGAGGAACCAAGGACCACAGAAGTGTGAAGGACCAAACCATACTGAGGGAGCTCTGGAATGTTGTTTGCACTTGAAAGTCAGATGCACAGATCGTGGGGCTTGCCCTTTTGCCGGTATCTGTTGAGACACACCAGGCACAGAGGCCTGGAAGAGCCTGCTCCTAGTGAAGAGGGTTCTGCTGATGTCCTCTGAACCAACAAAAGATGTTTAGTTATGAAGGCATGCCCCTACATTTATACTGGAGAGCTGAATGCAATGTCAGTGTCAACTAAACCAAAAGGCACCACACTGATAAGCAGATTACTTATTCCCAGGATGGACTCAACTCTGATACCCAAATGTCCAGATGCTCCACTGGAATCTGCCATAATGATTATCTTCTCCCTTGCTATAATCTACTGTTCAAGCATTTTCCACTGGCTAACTCAGTCAGTTCCTTTGACACAAACATAGAATCCTTTCGCCTGATTTCAGCTAACCTGATCAGATTCCTTTAGTGGTTCTGGTATAAGGAGAGTGGGCAGACCTGGGTCAGGCTGCCTCAGAGGCACTCCTGCTTTGCCACTGGTAGACAATGTGGTCTCAGGTAAGTACTTGTTTCTCTGGGCCTCAGCTTCTTGATCTATTTAGTGGGATTAATAACAGTGCCTATCATGTAAATCCTTGGACATTTTAAGTAAAAAAGAAAGGAAGAAAGAAAGAAAGATAAAATAAAGAAAGATCAAAGCAGATAGGCAGAGGGAAAATGCTCAGTAAATATTAGCTATTACAATGATTATTAATACCCTTGTCAAGGTATAAGTTATTGGACCTCTCTGATGCTTCCTACAGACTTGGATTTTATGTCTGGAAGATGGGGATAATAACAATTGCTTTATCTACCTCCTAGAACTGCTGTAACAAATAACGATACCAGTGTGAAAATGCACTGAAAATTGTAAAAGACTCTATGAATACAAAGTTGTGTTAATGTGTTGTTGCCATTATTGTTATTATTTCTGTGCTATAGGCCATCTAAGAACCCAACAGCCTGGGCCATTTTCAGAAAGTCAGAGAGGTAAGGAAATGGGAAACTCTGTTAAGAGTAGACTCACTTGAATGTCTGACAAAATGGTTTGGTTTAAGGACAGGAGCCCCAGCTTACACCGCCTTCTTCCAGACATAATTGTAGTAGAGCTGTCTATCAGCCCAAGGAACTTATCCTTACGCAAATGTTGTTCCATCTGAGAACTTATCCCTCCTGTTACCAGCATCTGAAGAAATTCCAGGACATGATAATTGTAGAAGGCCTGGAAAGCAAGGACAGGCCATGTGTTAAGTCAGAAGAGCTGGCATGCAAACGGTGAAGGTGTACAGTCAGAGATTTATGGGCATCACTGTTTGAAATAGATCTGATGGTGCAAAGCAGTCTCTCTCGTTATCAACTAAACGCTGGCAGTTTGGATAGGGCAGTATGTCAGGCCACAGATACCCTAGTAATCATTAACATATATTTAAAAAGATGTATTTAATGAGACTTCTACAGATTTTTCTTCAAGAGAGTACTGATATTGTAATCTACCCTTGAACCTTCTAGATTTGAATCTACTTATATTCCTTTTGATTGTGACCTACTTGAGGACTGGTATTGACCTAGGTCTTACTATTTAGATCTCACATAGTTCTTATTGTGTACTTTACAGGTTGTAGCTATTGAATAAGTGACTGGAATTTTAGAAACTTTGACATCAAAATGAAACCAAAGGAGGACACGTGGGACACTTCTTATTTTGAAACTATTTTGAGTCTGAATAACCCTAGCCATTTTCTGAAACTCCTTTTCCAAAAGATTCTTACCTCATTCAGTGTAGACTAGGTGTTGCCATACATATAAATAGCAGTGTAATGTATTACACATTAGATCTTCCCAAATATATTGAATATATGTTTTAAATTTTGTACTTTTTGTTTTATCTAAGTTAGACTTTTACTCCAGTAAAAATTAGAATAGATATGTTTATAGAGTACCTATATAAAAGTCAATAATTTTATTTCTATTATAAATAACAGGAATGACTTCAATTGCTGTGATTCTAGAAATTTTGCCATTCACTTTCTCTACTCCCGTTTTCAGGGACTTATCTTCTAAAACCTGGGTTCTGATGGGGACGTCTTTACTAGTCTGCTTTGCTATTTCCTCTCATTTGTAATCCATTCTGTGAAATGCTTCCAGAGATTCTTTAGAAGCAAAGCACAGCATGTCGTCCACCTCCTCAGACCTCCGGTGCCATACCCCTGCTGGAAAACCAAGCTAACCTCCTCCATGAATGGTCCTTCCAGGGCACAGCAGTGTTTGCAGTTGCTCAAGCTATACATTGACTCTTTCATGCCTTTGCTTTGGAACATCTAGTTCATCTCTCATCAACTGGGTGAACTCTATGCTGGCTTCATCCTCAAAATGAAGTTTTCTTTGTGATCCCATGGCCACTGGGTTTATTCTATTTAGTTTGTCTGAAACACACCTGAGTTTGAATCCTGGACTGGCATGTCTTAGCTGAATACCTTTGGACAATTCATGTGTTCTTTCTCGGCAACAGTATTACAATCTTTAAAGCTGACATCATAATACCTACCTCTGAGCATTGTTTGTAGGATTAAATGAGACATAAAGCATACATAACTAAATTCTGTTCTCTTCAACATTGGTTCTTATGTATCTGGATCACTTGAAGTGATATTCATGCATGCAGATTTCTAGGATCCCAGATCTACTGGATCAGAATTTATGGACAGATACAGGAATCAGAATTTAAAGGGCATGTCTGGTGGTTCTGACACTGATGGTCCTCAGATCATACCACTGAGACACACTTCCTTAAAATATGTGTCCTTTCAGAGGATAGACTTTGTCTACTTAACATTCACATCCTCAGGAGTGCTTTGAACAAAGGCTCCTTCAAAAACTGTAAGGATACTGACTACAACTGGCATTTGATTTTTAACAAATAAACAAATATTGCTAGTAAAATGTAGGGGCCATTGAGACAAGGTGACCTAGGAAATAATACAATATAAATAAATTAGGAGAGAGAAAAAATAACTTTTATAATATTTTTCAGATTAAAAGATGATTTCAAATGCCTCCTCCACCCTAACGTCCAGATTGAAAGACTCCCCCGAGTGATGGCCACCTCCTTACATTTCTCCTTTGCTCCGTCATGCTGCCACCCAAAAGTGTGATTATGGAATCAGCTCCCTGAAATCCAGGAGGGAATAGAGGATATAAATCTAGGTTGAGCCACAATCCGTTTAAGAACAAGTGGCCGTAGTGCAGAGTGATCAAACATAATGCTGTTAGAATAATTCGCCACTGATTAAAGAAAAGGAGTAAATTCTAGGGTTATCCTGATGTCGGAGGCTCTAAAGAAGCATGTACTTTACATATTTAACTGAGAGAGGCTTAGCTTTTGAATATATCATTTCTTCAGTTTTGACATCAAAAAGATTGCAATTCTATATTGGGGAAAATAATGGGATTTACATGTCACCCTTACTCTGTGGGCTCATCTCAAATTTTTATCATTTGGGGTTCTATGGTATTGGCTTTACCGGTCTCTCTCTTTTTTCTTTCCTCCCTCCTTCCCCTTCCCTTCTTACTTCTGTCCTCCCTTTTTAATTTTTTTCTTTCTCAAGGAAACATGAAAGTTGAAAGTTGGACTTACGTTGCAGACCAAACTGTTTTAACTTTTAGCTACAGTGAAGCTCAAGGTCTCTCTCATAACCTAGAATATTACTTAATAACATGGATATTAACAACTTGGCCACTTGCTGCTTTTTATTCCGAGAATCTCAAAAGGCCTTAAGACCAAATATTCTTTGAGAAATACTTGTAATTGAGAATGAAGCTATATGATAGGAGAACTTCAATGAACCAGGTGAGTGATGTTGAGAAAGTCATGTAACTTCTGTGGGCCTCACTTTCCTTATAAATAAATAAATGCTAATTCATGTCCAGTTCTGAAGTTCTCTTGTTGTAAAGCTATTGAGGAATTCTGCTTATGGGCCTGAGTGCTTCTCCATATTTTAATTTTTACAGCATTAAACTGAGAAAGGATTAAAAGTGAATCTGAGCTTTACCTTATAGGTATGTTTCTATAACTGAGGCAGGAGTTTACAATAATATACCAGGGGATACTTGAAGCCATAGTGTCAAATGAATCAGGAGATTTGGAGGATGAATCCATTATTACATGTTGAAAAAAAATCACAGGTATATCAGGGGTAGAAGAAAAAACTGCACGAAAATCTAAAACAAAACTTCTGTATTTCTAAGCAGTGACAAGGTCATATCACATTATTCAGGCTCTATTTTATCCTCAGGACTGTGGGTTCATTCTCCTCTGTGTTTTTTAAGGGCAGTTAGGAGGAAAAAGTAGAGATGCACTGTTAAGTTTTCTGAGTACTCATGAGAAGAAAGGGGGCCCTTAAGTTATTAGGTTGGATATATAGTTCCCCAAGATTGGAGTCAATTGACTGGTGACCTCATGTTGTTTTAGAAACTGCTGAGATGTTAGCCACCTTTTTCCTGTGGGAATTTGTTTTGAATTCATCTGATTTGAGCCTTGCAATACTGTGTAATACGGGCATCAGAGAAACAAACACTTTGATTCTAACGATAATCTCTGACTGTGCAGCACTGGAAACACATCTCTTAAGGCATTAGGCTGGGCAGCGGGTTGGAAGAGCCGAACCCGGAAGATGTTCTTTGGGGAGAGGAAATGATGGGATGGAAGGGACATGCAAAATGGGGCAGAATGTCTGACTCCTGTTTCCCATACAAAGCTCCTGACTGGAAACTGGAAACCTGTCTTGGAATAGAGCAGGATTCTGGTTTTTTAATTTTCTTTCTCTGTCATATAGCCTAACTTCTAGGGAGTGGTTTTCAAAGTCTTCTTAACAGCAGAAATCTTTCTTCAAATCAAATCTTACACAGGGGCCTCATATGTGACAGATGAAAGTAGAGTGGAGGGGGCATGGTGGTGTAGGCGCTCCCTGGTCTCATCCTCCTCACCTGTCTCTTCAGCAGTTCTGGAACACTCTGGCATACAAGCTCCTCTAAGCAAAACTTCAATATCAATGTATTGGAAAAATAGTCATTATGACAGAAAGAGATTTCTGGAGTGGTGGTTGATTGTAGTAGTGAGGTCTGATTTGGGAATCATAAGTCATAAATTTGGTTCTGAAAATCAACTCGGGAATCATAAATCATAAATTTGGTTCTGAAAATCATAAATTTGGTTCTGAAAATCATTCGGGAATCATAAATCATAAATTTGGTTCTGAAAATCAACTCGTCATCTGTAGGTGCTGTGACCTCTGGCACATTATTTACCCCTCTAAGCCTCAGATTCTTCATCTGTAAAATGAGGCTTATAATTGCATTCTCCAAACTGGGCTCACAGGAGAATTAAACAAGGTAATATAAGTTAGGCATTTAGCAAAGACTTTGACCCAAAGTAAGTGCTTGAGAAGGGGTTATTACTACTCCTATCACAGAGATTGCTCTGATTATTAATATTACCTCAACAACAAAACAGCAGAAGTTGACTTGAGGTCTGTGTTGGGAAAG